GAGCTGCCAGGTTGACGACGAAGGCGGGCATGGCGGTGTTGGTGTTGCTGTCCACCACCCACGTAGGGTTGACTGGCATCGCGAAAGTTGGCGTCCACGGAATTGACTGTGGCCCTCCGGCGCTATACGGTACCATACTAGAAGGGGAAGGATCGGGATTCGAGTCTCTCGGGTTAGGGCGGTTATCCCTTCAAGCAATCGACTCTCGAGACGTAGGTCGAGAAGACCACCTTCTATCCACATCTCTGTCGTAGTCGGATCGGCTAGGTTCGGGGCGATAAGAGTCCATCCGAGTTCGACGGGTTTCATTCCCCATTTGCCAACGAGCCTGTCCCGAATGACCCGAGGCTGATCCTTCTCTTCGGCCGGGATACGGATGGGACCTTCTCTCTTCTCGAGGCAATTTCCTCCAGCGGTTATGGTTCGACGAACCCGAGGGAGAGGATGAGGCGGAAGAGTTGTCAGTGGAAAGGGCGGATGGGGTGTTGGTGGGATGAGCGCTTGGTTGCGGCACCAACACATTCGGAGGGGGTAGGAAGACCGAACTCCCTGCACCCGGCCAGTTGGGAGATGGAGGTGGTACGGAAGCGTCTCCCAGGTTCAAGCCCAGCGTTCCTGACGTCAGCTCGTCTGAGCCCTCGTCGAAAGGAGTCGGTGAATCTGGCTGTGCCAGTTGTCGCTCAGCGTCATCCATGTCCACTTCTTGTGCCTCGGCGCGAGTCATGAAGCGTCCAGTATCCGGGTAGTAGAATGTCCGGCTCAGACGACGTTTCTCCACCAACTTGAGGGTGGACGGGTCCTTGTTGGATGGGGGTGGACCCGGCCACACGAGTCGGAATTCGTAGGCCTCCCTGTCTTCAGCACCAGGCAATGGTTCGGGCGTATCTTCCCATTTGGGCCAGTCGAGGAACCAAGGAACTTCAGTCCCTTGAGCCAACGGGAGTCGGTAATTACGAGCAGCCTCAGCATGTCCGCTCAGGTCCAGTTCTTCGAACAATCCATTCTTGATTACGCGACATGGCAGCTGACAAGCTAGGTATACAGCGAACTCGGGTGAATTTGCCGTCAATCGATCATCAGTCGAACTTTCTTCGAGAAAAATTCCTTTCGGGGGTTCCAACCAGGATATCTTGCGTCCCTCTTGGACTTCTACTTCCATCAGGTGTTCATGGATTCGGGTGTAATTGACGAAAGCGATAAGGAGGGAAATGATCCGGAGTATGTAGGTGTATCGAGATATTATGGTGAAGGGGTGTTGCCAAGGAGCGAACTGGAAGGCAAAGATGTGACCGTCCAACTCGTGCTCGCCGCCCGACTTGGACTCGACTTTGTATATTACTTCCCTCAATTCGTTAGGCAATCGTAATTTCGTGAGGGCCTCAGCCTTGAGTGCGGCGGCCTTTGAAGACTCCCAGCGTTCCAGCAGTGGGGTCAAAGCTCGGGGCGGAACGTTCTGGTTCCCGTTTTCTCTCAGCACTTCGGCCTCGTTGAGGTGGTGATACTCCGGTAGTAAGAGCCACAATCGATCCAGAGATCGAGCACCGGGTCTTACGTGCTGGAAAGTGACGTACGAGAAAGTAGGGTCGAGAGGTCCCAGCTGCCCGTTTAACCACATAGGGTCGGATGGGGCTCTCTTGAAGGGCTCGGATGACACTTCGGCTGCTTCGAGACCTGGGCAGTCCCGTCTGTGATCGTCCGTGATCGCAACAGAGTTACGTGGGGTGGGCCTGCAGCTCATACTTGCCAGTCCGAGAGACATCGTCAGTTAGGTTCGTTGATGGGATCGCGAGGGGAAAACGATGGAGATCGAAGGTGATCGAAGTGTATTCTAATCACGCGCCGCTAATCGACTTCGTGTGAATACCCGATCGGGAAGTGGGCGCTTATTCACGTCTGCTCAGGCCCGCCTTCGATCTATACCTTCCGAGGATCTCGGGGGCGTTTCGGAGGTCTCTTTCGGTTGCCCAGGTGTCTTCTTGCGCCCCATATCCTTTCCACCTCACTCTGTACAGGAGTTTCCCTTTCCGCTTCCTGTGCCCCACCACCTCTTCTACCTCAAACTCTTCCGAGGCTTTCATATCGTCCCTGGGGTTGGACAGTAGCGGTCTTGAGACGTCACCGGGTGAACGATAAGGCCTCAGGTGCGCTACATTCACCACGTTATGCATAGGGTAGGAGTTGGGAAGTTTTAATCGGTAGGCGTTGTAACGGGGATTTGCTGGTGTACCATAAACAAGCCAAATCCCGCGATTCTACCACCCTTAGCCAATGTTCCCTCCTACCCATTTCTTATTTTTCCTGATTTTTCTGACTCCATTTCCACCTGATGTTTCCCCTTCTCATTGTTCTTTCCTTATTTGTCATTACCGGACTCTTCCATGATACCGTGACCAGCTGTATAGTTAGCTAGACAGTGAGGAGTAGTGGAATCCACTCCCAGTCAAACAAACCTGTGCAAGCGACCACTCCAACCCTCCCCCTCTCTTCTGTCTCGAGTCTAGTGGTGATAGACCCGTTACAAAACTGGTGGTCCTTACAGGGGAGGGTATTCCAAAGGGTCGCACACACCGAGTTCTCAACCACGCAAGTTTCACCATCTGTTCATTTGTTTGACAACACCATCGTTATTTTGGACATTGACTATCTACATCATTTGTTGCACCCCAAGAAGAGGCAGAAGTACTAGCCAGGGATCTCCGAGTCTACGGATCCACACGTTTCACACACCTGCAAGATTAAGAAAGTTGCGCGATTGTTTATCCTGGCAGACCTCAAGACGAGGGCACAGGACACCGAGTTTGTTATCGAGTTTTAGCGACGTGTTGCCATTCAGCAAGTTTATCGCGATTGTTCCTCCTGGTGGATCTCCCGACGAGGCACAGGAGGTCGGGTTTATTGCTCAAGTGGTTAACTCCTGGCAGTTCTCAAGAAGAGAGTACAGGAGCCTGCATTAGTTATCTGGTTATCAAGTTTGCAACGTGTTTTTGCGACGTGTCACTCCGTTTACCCCGTTTTACCCTCGTTTTTATGATTCCTCTCCTTGCCGGACGACAAGCGGCATAGAGAATCACTCCAAGTATTGCCGGAGCGGGCCCCAAGTGATCCCGACAATCCATTTTCAAGTTCTTACTTCGTTTTGTTGACTTTTCAAGATGGCTGCGAGTTCGGCTATTGAATCGCCATTGTTATACGTTCCCATGCCCATTCCCCGCACCCCAGAAGCGCCTCTGTTCAAAGGCAAAGGAATTGCCAGGTTTCTCCGCAAGTATGAGTCGCGTGCCGATGCAGCACTATTCACGAAGACCCAGAAGTGCGATTTCCTCATCGCATATTGTTCCAAGAAGGAAGCCAAGTTCGTTACCACCCTTGACGGGTTCAAGAAATCAGATTGGCAGTTACTCAAGACTGAATTGCTGATTCATCACGGCGCTGACAAAGAAGACCGATATCGCACCAACGATCTGTGCAAGCTCGTAGAGAAACGTCGCAAGATGACGACTTTTGACCACTTCGACCAGTATCTGCGCCAGTTCAGCATTATCGCTGCAACCCTCGAAGCCCGGTACCTCCTCACTCCCATCGAGCGTGACGAATTGTTTTTCCAAGGCTTCCCATCCAAGTTTAGGGACCAAGTCAGCTTTGACCTCCAAATTGAAGGCCTGTGGGCCGATCCACCTCATATGTGCGACGTTATCGCAACAGCGCGGATGCTGCTTCAAGAATTTATGTTTAATGGCGACATCAGCAATGAGCCTGAACCAAGCCCATGTTCCAGCGAAGGCCCCAGTGGCTCGCAAGCCACTCAGGACAGTGTGTCTGGCGCGTCGTCAGTTTATTTATCGCGATCTACAACAGTTGAAGACTTTCTGCCCAAGTTTGACATGGAATCGAGCCCCAGCGCTTCAGGAGACTCAGAAACCCCAGAGACGAGTTCCAGTGGCTCAACCTTCGATCTGATGGGCCAGTACCAGTCTGAAACCTGGGAAACGCCCAGCGCCTATGAACCCGAGTCCATTGCTGTGACCGATGAATGCATTTCCCAGCCAGAGTTTGACGACGCTAGCCTAGTGACAAGTTCTTACGACAATTCTGCGAGTTTCTCCGATGTGCCACAGCTTAATGATCAAGAGCTAAGGCCTAACGGCCACGAATCCGACTCAGAACTCGACATTTTTGCAGAAGACCCAGTTGCCGCAGTCTCAGCACATGCGCCCACCGATCCTATTCGCCCAGACGAAGCCTATAGCCCGTTGTATGACTCCCAGAGCGCATCCGAGGCTGATCACAGCCAGCGCTTTGTGCTTCCAGAGATAAGCGCCGACATCGCTGAGATGTCGGACTTGTACCAGTTTGCCTTTGGATTTGAGCCCGATGTGCCCAAAGCCGGCCCAAGACCACTGAGTAATGACCAATGCCATCTTTTGTGCAATGTTCCACGTCGTTTCGAGTCATTCCAGAGTAATGAGCGACGAGAGCCCAGTCAGCAAGTTAGCCGAGGATTCCGAGTCGCCAGCCAAGCCACTGCCGTCGATGTCAAGCTTCCTAGAGTGAAAACATGCCACAGAGTCTTCACCCCCAAGCCGTTGCTGCTAGTTGAACACGTCATTCCAGCCAAGGCGACCAGAGTAGCGCCCGTGTCGCTTGATCAGGCTTATGAGAAACTGCCCCCGCGCGCGCTGATTCTTACACCTGAGATGTGTAGACTCAAGCAGCCAAAGGTCAACCTTAGCGTCGCAATCCCAATCGAAGAGTACAGCAGTGTCGAGTCTTCCACTGAGTCTATCAATGCCAGCTGCCAAGAGATCGAGCCAATCGATGCTGCGTCGACCAGTTATAGTCATGAAGCCGAAGATGCGACTCCGGTCCACAGTGAGAACGAGTTCCTTGTGCCTTGCGACAGAGCTGGAGAATATAGTGAACGTTTGAGCACCAAGGAATCCAGCGTTTCAGTTTGGGACTCTAGTGGCGAGTCCAGCGCCAGCGGGTATGGTGAAGCCAAGATGCGCGCAGAGAGGCGACATTTCACACCTGAGTACAATGAAGGATCTGGTAGTCCACCCAAGAAGGATCCAGATAAAGCTCTGAGCTGCGAATCCGATCCCAATCGTGGTGGTGAAGCGCCTAAGCACGTTAGGATGCCGTCGCTGCCAACCATATCCGAGTTCAATGACGGTTATGCTGAACCGCCCACGAAAGATCCTGACAAGGCCTTATATATGAATAAGCGTCCGGGAGATGCCCGAGAGTATGAGTCTGAAGAGACTCTAGAGGCCGAATGTTCGCGAGAGATCGAGTTCCAAGGGGACACTTTCGCAGTTGAAAATCCAGATGGAATTTATGTCGTTTGCGATGACATGATCGCATTTTTTGAAGTCAAACACGAGTCTAAGGTGACTCCAGAGGCCGAAAGTATACGAGATGCCAAGCTCCACAGTGACATCCTCACACTTGAAATGCCGGAAGGCACCTATATCATTTGCGATGATGAGATCGCCCTGTTCGAAGTCAATGGCGAGTCTGAACCAAGCAGAAAGTCGAACATTGCACGAGTCCTGGACTCAGCCCAAGAGGACAGTGAGCACGAGCATAAAGAGCCAAGGCCTCCCGGCCTCAACGATGAGCTCAATTGTTGTTCCACATTGTGTACCGACTTCCGCCGCGAGGTTTCCGTGCTTGAGACGCCAGAGGGCATCTATGTCATCCACGGTGGCCTTGTGATTCTTTTTGAAGTTGCCCAAGCCGCGGAGCGCGAAATCCAGTTCAGACCCAGCCTAGCGCAAGATGGGACCGAGTTCAAGGCTAAATCAGAGCCAAAGTCCCTCAGCCTCAGCGATGAGCTTAGTTCGATGCCGATTTCAGTCACTCTTACGCGCGAGTTGAATAGAGAACAGGATTATGATTTGATCGACAAAGATGCTAACATACATGATGTATTCGACGCAATGAACGGCCCTACCTCCCGGAATCTCGTTAGCGCTGGTCCTGGCAATGGAGCACCCCAGCCCCCAAAGACCCCACGTTCCCCCGACCTAGTCGATGACGGCTATGAATGCCGACCTGAGAAAGACCCCGACAAGGTCTCAAACATGAATAAACGTCCGGGAAATGGCCCAGCCCGAGAACAAGAGTCAGAGGAGACTCCAGAGGTCAAATGTTTGCGTGGTGTTGAGTCCCAAGGTGACACCCACATACTCGCGATGCCGGAGGGCATCTTTTCTTTCCAAGCATAAGCCCGCCCTCGTCTTAAACTAAGCCGACCTTTAATCATTTCCCAACATTCTTTCAAGTTTTACGCGTGTTCTTACGATTTCCGATGAGTGCAACTTGAGCACTTATTTCTTGCATGCGAAACCACGCTGTTATTTATGAGTCTACAGGTTTGGCCCGAGTCGGAGGCGTCGTCAGTCCTCGATGCCACGATTTCCTAGCCAGATAACATTCGTTCGAGTTTTACACGATAATTCCACGCTCCTTTCGCTTTCTGTTCAATTTTCCCCGATTTTCACGCCGAAGTTGACACACAGCGACGTCGTACCTGAGGTTGAAGTCCCCCAAGCGCAGCACACTATGCCACGACCGTACCCGATCCCACAACGCTAGATTGTACCGAGCCCAAGTCAGAAGAGCTAGGGCCTCCCGGCCTTAGCATCAAGTTTGCCGTCTGACGTTGATCCCGAGCCCGTGCGCGATGCCTACCGAGGCGGCACCGACCCCAGCCATTGTGTGCGACATGAGAACCCTAGCGTCGCCAGTTCAAGCCCAAAGAGCTAAGGCCTCCCGGCCCTAGCTTCGAGTTCCAGCAGTGGATGACAGTTCCGCGTGATGCCAAGTTACGCGCGCGATGTCGAGTTCTGGTGTAGGTTGGCGCTGGAGCTAGTTGATGGTGTTGGGAATGGCAAGAGTTGGTTGATTGAGCGAGTGCTGAAGGAACTTGGAAGTTGTTGAATTCGCGAAGGAGTCTCATCACCTAGCCCATGTGTCCGCGGGAAAGCTCTGAGCGAGTAACTCGCCCAGAATCTTCTCACGCCTTCACATGACCCCTGGTCCGGACAAATTCCGAGGTCACATGGCATTTGACACCGTGCAGAGTGGGGCCTCATCTGATTAATTCTGTTTGACTTCTTTCCTTTCGGGAGATTGCAAGGGACTGCAATCAAGAGCAAGGCCTGTATGTAACGGGGATTTGCTGGTGTACCATAAACAAGCCAAATCCCGCGATTCTACCACCCTTAGCCAATGTTCCCTCCTACCCATTTCTTATTTTTCCTGATTTTTCTGACTCCATTTCCACCTGATGTTTCCCCTTCTCATTGTTCTTTCCTTATTTGTCATTACCGGACTCTTCCATGATACCGTGACCAGCTGTATAGTTAGCTAGACAGTGAGGAGTAGTGGAATCCACTCCCAGTCAAACAAACCTGTGCAAGCGACCACTCCAACCCTCCCCCTCTCTTCTGTCTCGAGTCTAGTGGTGATAGACCCGTTACAGCGTTCTCGTTTATCACCTCCGTCACCTCGAATGGTCCAATGCGTCTCTGCATTAGCTTCCTTCCTGTACCCTTTACTTCCAGGAGGTTGAGTTTATGGGGATCGATCAGTACCAAATCTCCCACTTCGTACGTTACTCTCCTGTGTTTGGCGTTGTGCGCCCTAACTTGATGCAATTGTGCCAGATGGATCGCTTCTCGTGCCCATCTTCTGCATACGTTCAGCGCGTCCACTCTTTCCTCCGCTTTGACGTTGAGGGACTCCTCAGGAACTAGGAATGAACTGGGCAGACGGGGCCGGAAACCCATCAGTAGCGTAGCAGGAGCTTCTCCCGTAGTAGTGTGAGGACTATTATTGTACGCTAGCATCAGAACGTCCAAGAATTCATGCCAGTCGTCCCTGTCCTTATTGACATAAGCTCGTAACATGACTTCTAATTGCTGGTTCATTATTTCCGTTTGTCCGTCCGTTTGCGGGTGCGCAGCTGAAGACATCGCCAGCTTAGTGTTGAAGTGATGCGCTAAGGAAGACCAGAACGTCGAAAGAAAACGAGGATCCCGGTCGCTGACTATCACTGCGGGCAACCCCACATGTTTAATCACATGGCGCCATAATAAGTCTGCAGCGCCCGTCGCGTCTGTGGTGGAAGAGCATGGGATAAAATGCCCATATTTCGTGAACTTGTCTACCACTACTAAGATGGCGTCTGGCTGCATGGCTCCTTTAGGAGGGGGTAGTCCAGTCACGAAATCCAAGGTTATCGTGTGGTAAGGCAATTCTGGGACAGGCAAGGGTTTCAGCAGACCCGGCGTTTTGCCTCTGTCATGCTTGATCTTCTGACAGACGTCGCAAGTTTCCACATACTGTCGAGCATCCTTTCCCAGGTCCTTCCAATAACACTTAGATTTCAGGCGCTTGAGCGTTCTTTCTATACCCGCGTGGGCGGCCTCGTGAGGGGTGTCATGAATTTCCTTGAGGATCGTGGTCCTCAGACTTCTCGGGACACATAGGCGTCGGTTGGTTTGCGGGTCGTCCCAAAGTAGCAGCCCTTCCTCCGACACTTGGTAGGCACCTCCTGCTACACCGCCGTCAAGAGTTTTGCGGTATATGTCTCCGAATTCTTCGTCCGTGTGGTAGGCCAGACGGAATTCCTCGGCTGTTCTCGGGGCTAAACCCAACCATAAACTTGTCGTGCCCATTTCCACTTGATTTTCGTCCACGATGTCCATGCTACGCGATAGGTCTAACTTGTCTACGGCGCGAGACCGTGCCCTGGTAACCACGAAGGCTCCTTTCGCTGGGTCCTTGCGCAGATACGTGCTCCAACTTTGGATAAGGTCCTCCTGAGCCAGGCTGGTTTCTAGACTGAGTAGCTTTTCCACGTTCGGGGATATCGTCTCCGGGGTCCGGGCCAAGCGAGATAAAGGGTCTACGTTAGAATGTGCAAGTCCCGGACGGTGGACTATGGTCATCTTCGGGAATGCTGCGAAGACTAGACCCCATGCCGCTAGGTGACGATTGTAGTTTTCGAAGGTCCTCGCCCATTGTAATGCCGCGTGGTCCGTGATTAGGAGTAGGTCCTCGCCCTCGATGAACGGCGTGAACCTGACTAACGATTCCTTAGCTGCTAAGGCTTCTCTCTCTGTTGCCGAGTATCGGGTCTCGGGACCCTTGCACGTTCGACTCCAATAGGCGATAACCCTTTCCACCTGGACAGTAGAATCTTCGAAAGCGGACGCCCACTGTGCAGATGGGGGGCGATCGTCTCGTCCGGCGTTCAACTTCTTTACCAACTCAGGGATCTGCTCCTGTTGATCATATGCGAGTTTCAACTTCTCGTAGGCACGCGTCCCCTTGAGGTCCTTAATAGTCATCGGCTGTATCTGCTGTAACGTACCCGCCAAAGCTACGTCAGACGCGTCGGTATAGAGCCTATAACCCAACCCTTTCATGGGGTGTCCCCTGACCGGAGCCGTGGCTAGGGCGTATTTCAACAATGAGAAGGCTTGTTTGCACGGCTCGTGCCAGATCCAGGGAGCCCCGTCTTTCAATAGGTCGAAGAGGGGTCTGGCAATGAGTGAATATTGAGGTATGAACGAGGAGAAGTAAACCGCTATCCCAAGGAAGGTGCGCAGCGCCTTCCTGTTTTGGGGTTCTTCGATCTCCAGTAAGGCTTGCACCTTTTCCCTGTGAGTGGAGAGTCCCAGGCGGGATACCTTTTGACCTAGTAGCAACAAGCTCTGGTATCCTAAATGACACTTGGGCGGCGAAAGCGTAAGGTTAGCCCTCTTTATAGCATCAAGAACTCGATCTATATGTGTCAAGTGTTGGGCAAAAGACGTGGAGTATACTACGATGTCGTCGATGTACACTAGGGCGAATTGCCACAGGAAAGGAGCTAGGACTTCCTGCATGACTCTCTGGAACACGTTTCGCCACCCGAAGGGCATCCTCGTAAATTGAAACAATCCGCGATGGGTGCGAAAGGCCGTCTTGTCTCTCGATTCTTGATCGAACTCCAATTGCGTAAACCCTGATAGCGCGTCGAAGGTTGACATGTATTGGGAGCCGGAAAGGGCCTGTAGAATATCTGTTTGTCTTGGAATGGGGAACTTGTCCGGGATAGTGACCTCATTCAGTTTTCGCCAATCCACGCAGAGCCTATTCTTCCCTCTTTGGCTGACGATTATAACCGGGGCGCCCCAGGGACTCTGGGACGGCTCGATCACTCCCATCTCTAACCAGGCGTCTAATTGTTTATCGATGATCTCTCTTTTCAGAGGGGAGGCGTGGTAGGGCGGAAGCGAGATGGGTTTCGCGCCTTCTCTTAATGATATATGCACGCGGGCATCATATCGTCCCAGGTTCCCAGCCGTAGCGAAGGCCCTCTCGTGCTTCTGCACCAAGGCTCGGAGCTGCTCCTTTTCCTCGGGCGATAACTCTGGGTTTACGTCTACCACATCCACTAAGGTTTCAGGGAGGACCTCGTCTCCAGGTATCGTCTCCGCTGTCTTTGGTCCGACTAAAGCTCCGTCGATATCATGGGCTTCCTCAGGTTGTCCCAGGACATTGGCTTCCGCTGCGACAGCCTGTATTAATAGTCCTTTACTCTGGAACTCACGGATCTGAGGTTCGCTTAGTTGTTCGGCGCCATCTAGATCCTCGTTGGGATTGGACATGGATGCTATCGTTGTCCCGCTCTGGACTTTGATCGGGTATGGGTTTGGATTGGTCAAGGGTAGCCTAAAAGGATGGGCGGTGTTTACGAGCATGGTCGGAGGTGGCAGACAGTCACCCTGCTTCCACCCCGTCCTCCGTCCTTCGACGAGGCGTACTCCCGAGTTGTGGTCGAAGTTACCAGTGACCCCAACCAGGCGGACTGTGTACGGTTCTAAGGTCACATCCTCCGTGATTTTTAGTCGACCTGTGCCCGAGACGTTCACTCGTTTAGGTTCATGAGAATGAGAAGGACCGGCTATAACTGGATAGACGGGCGCGTGATGAATCTGGCTCTTAAGGGGAACCTGGTGGTCTGAGTCTGCCACTTGCCAGAATTCTCGTTCAGCTGGACGCATGGTATGCAGCTGGAACGCTGTCTGCACGTCTTCGGCTATCAACAGAGGGATGGTCATCCCTTTGAGTACGTAAGCTTCTACACTCCTCAGCAGGACGTGACCTCGTTGTGAGGGCAGGTATAAGTCAATCGTCGTGTAGCCTTGGCATTTAGCCTTCCCTGTTAGCT